TCAGTAAGCATTTCCTCTCCAGCATGTGAAGATATAGCTTGTGTCCATACAACTGTTTAATGGGTGTCTGAAATAGATGAGGCCTCCTAAAGCAAATGTAAAAACTGTGTTATATTGCTGTGCCAGCAACTCCATTAGGAGTGAGAGTCTTATGATGACCTTTCTCCTGAAAGTCAGATGCTCCTGTGGAGGGAGCCAGCCAGAGCTGTGGCCGAAGAGGGTGACAAGAGGAACTCAGTGACTGCTCTGCTGATGAACTGTGCCAGCAATTCATTTTGCAAGTCTCTTAAGCTATCATAAGAATTTACAGGAACTCATTATACAATAAATTGTAGATATAAAATAGCAGGTGGTACACCTTACAAGCAGTACGCATTAAAATTCATCTTGACAAGACCAGGAAAACAGCCCCCAGACCTTCTTCAGTGAGCAACTACAAAGGAACTAAGTTGTGGTTAGGAGAAGTGGAGTGTTAATGACAGGTCTATGCCAGTAAACATGACAAAATGCCTCAAATGCCTTTAGCAGGAATTGTCATCAGAACAGTTTCTTTCCCTGCTAGTTATAAAATCAGGTAAGCTATTAGAGACACCACTTGTAAAACCCAGACACCTTATATTTTCATCAAATGTAGCAATTGTCTCTGTCTCTGAGGTTCCTGAAACAAAACCCCCTTGGGGTCCTACCTGGGCTTCTGTATGCAAGCTGTGAAAATATTGACATACTCATTTTATCCTTTGCTTTCCTTGTCCTTCTCTGTTTCCTTTCTTTAATCTTTCCTTACTGGCAGCCACTAATGCACTACTTCTGCGCCAAGACGATGAGGAAACTGTTTCCTCTCAAGCCAAGTGTGCTGACACTGCTCACCTTGATTTCCATAAGTGATTGAACAGTGTCTCCTGTCTGCTGCATATTTCAGGCTCCAGTTACCCAAGATTCTTGGATGCTGAGAGGGCTTTTCATCTTCCCCATCTCCTCCTCACAGTCAGAACCAAGCCAGGCTTTGCCTCCTCTACCTTCATGGCTGTGAGCTGCTCAGACTGGCAGTAGCAACCTCAAGATGCTTTTCCCCACGAATCGATTTTTCTCAACTTGAAGAGTTTTAAAAATTTCTTTTCACCTACTGAAAAATTTGATGTGGATGTTTGATTCTCAAGTTGAGGCAACATCTACTGCAGTCCTTTCTGAATTTCAGGGCCACATTTGCAGCCAGGGTAAGCTGCTGACTTGTGCTGATGGTCAGCAATTTGTAAGCTGGCCTCTCAATGGCCTCCTTTAGCTGCAGTGCTTTAAAGACATTCGCTGTCGGCATCAACACCAGCTGAAATTCAGATATATTTGACCTTCATTCCGTAGCATTTTGGAAACTGAAAAATAATAAACTTGTAGTGAATTCTGCCCTCCAGATACCAGATTATTTTTCTTTGCATGCCTTTGAAAAATGTTTATCTTATTTTAAGCCTCTGCTGCCAAGGGGAAGGCATGGGGCACATGGAAAGTAGGAGGGAGTGTGAAAGGAAGAATGTGGAAAGGTTTGGTGCTGATGGATGGGATCCATTTGCAGCATTGTTGGGCTAAGCACTGAATGCTTAAAAGTAATTTGTGGCAGTTTAGGCTTTTATCATCGCATGCACGTTGCTCTGGGGGTATATGTGGCAGAAGACAAGCTCCCAGACTGAAGAGTTTATAATCCTAAATATGCGTTTCTGCAGGCAGCTCGGTGAAGCTGATAGATCTCTGCAAGGTACAGTCAGGGCCTCCGGTGGATGGGCTGACCCCTCAGGATAATAGCTCCTCTCTGAGGGGAACAAGTGGAATTGCTTAGGAAAAGTATGCACTTAGTCCTTATGATTTTCATGGCAGATAACTGTGCAGAACAGGTGTGTTGTTGGGTAGGTCATATAGGAATCTTTGAACACGCCCAGTGAAAGAGAGGGAAGCAGATCCTTTAAAAGACATATTTTTTAAATTGAAGACAATGTATGAACCTACCAATCCAGTTGGTTTTGAATGTTTGATAAGAGGATAAGCAAGAGTAGGTGCACATTAGCAAAGAATAGTTACAAATAGCTTGTGCATTAAAGAGACCCTCAGCCCTCCGCCGTTGGGGGGGGTGTGTGTGTGTATGCACATTGTTTTTTCTATCAGTTTTTATGGATAGATGTCAAAGTGTTTGCCAAAAAAAAAAGGAAATGCAATCCCTAATGTACATAGCAGAGGAAGTAGGATGCAGTTGGTGACATGCTTGATCCACAGGCAAATGGCAGAGCCAAAATAAGCAGGTTTCCTTGACCATTTGGTGCCAAGTCACAGTGCATCCAGCCTAGAGCTGTCCAGACCTGTTACTGTCTTCCTTACCAGAGAATCCGTACAGTGTACTTCAGTGACAGGAAACGTGTGCTAAATGCACCTACCAGCCTGTATTTGTGAACAAGACTGAGTTTTCTTCATTGTGATAAGCTTACATATCCTGACATAGGTTTCCACGTCCAACATTAAAGAGTCTATTAATGCTAGGTTTCCATTAGGAGTGACAAAACAACTCGTTTGTTTTGTGCCCCGTCCTTTGTGAAAGGTGGTGCTTAGAGCAGCCAAGGCACAATCTCCTGCTGTCCTGGCTCCAGGGCATCAACAAAACAGCATGTCCCTTCACTGGAGCACAGAGCCCTTCTAAAGACACTGCCAGTTTCAGTAAATTCCTTATTGGGATGGGTTCTCCAGGGGTTTCTGTCTCAAGAAGAGGGTTTGGTAGAAAAACAAACAAAAAGAAACCCTTTCTAACAGACTCTGCACAGTGATTATTAGAAGATGCTTGCAGGAAGTGGAAAACCCCATTGATATATGCAGTGCCAGGTTCTGACCAGGCACTTAAATGTTAACTTCTTGCTTTTTGGATAACTGCCCTGAATGGAGCTGTGGGTGCCTCTGTGTGGGCAGGTGTCTCTTCTGTTTCCTAGGGGAAGAACCTTTGAAACCAATCGTTTTCTTCTCGGTCAGCAAGAGGTGGAAATGCTGATTACAACCTGTCTCCAGGAAAGTCCTGGGGCAGTATAAAACTGCTGCCCACTTCTGGCATCTGTATTTTGATTGTCTGGTATTTTTGGTATTCTGCTGCTGGTTAATATCACATTCATTGCAGCTGACCTTTAGCAGAGAGGTGATTGAGATTTCAGTTCAGGTTAGTAGAACACATGCTCAGTGGTGGCAGAATAGACAATGAAAGTGCAAAGCACAGTTTGATTTTGGTAAAAATGCCATCTGACCATCTGGAATAGGTGTTGCAGGCGTGTCCACCCTTCTGTTAATGTCCCTGGTGAATGCCTCTGTTTCCTTTGTCTGCCCCTCCCAAGAGGAGTGCTTCCACCTCCTCTGGTTGTGGCTGCCTGGCGTTGTACTGCACCAGTGACACATCGGAGGGTTGTTGGGACACCGCGTGCCCAGCACTCAGCTCTCAGGAACATCGATCTTTCTGCTGAGCCAGAGAAAATTTAATTAGGTTATTTTAACATTCCTCTTCGTCCTGCGGGTGGATAGAATTGATGCTGGCTGGAGCCTCGTTTCCACATAGCTCATTTACTGTAACTAATTATTGCTTGTAATTGAATGGTATACTCTGCTGACAGCCTCTGCACTAAGGTGGAACAGTCACTTTTCATTTATTTGCTGTCAGAACCATCTGAAACCTTCCCCCTCAGGGCAGCAAAATCTTTCAGTTCTTGCTGGATGTTAACTGGGCAAACTGGTGGAAAGCTATAGTTAGCACAGCCTCATGCCAGTGTCATGCTGGAGGCAAGGAGACTAATTCAGAGTGAGTCCAGGAAATAGGAAAAGCCTGAACAGCTCTCTAGCTTAAGGTTAGTCCCCTTTGTGTGTATGCATTATGATTCTCTCTATTTGCATACTTGCATCCTACTTTTTATCATTAATACTGTCCTTCTTTTTAACTTGGTTCAGTCATGTATTTCTCACTCCTCTAGTTCCTGGGAGTGCCCAGCCTGTTCTTGCTGAAGCTTTAAAACAACCGACTCCCAAAAGAAAGTATTAGCTTGAGTTAGATATCATTTATTGGGATTTAATTCTGAACAATTAAAATCATCAAAATTACAAGTGTCTTGGACCTGAGAAGCTGCAGCCTTAAATATAGGTGATAGCTGTCCCCATAATACCTGGGAGGTACTCGAGGACACACGTGGCAAGGAGGCCCCTTTCTCCTTGAAAGTGTCTCCCCTTCAGTGTCTGTCTGCTGCTTGCATCTGTGATGTTTTCCCCAGTGTGCTCTGACCAAAAACTTAGCATAAGGAGAGAGGATGTATAGCAGGGCATGCAGAGGCTATTTCAGCAAGCTAACTACATTTAGTGCCCAGGCATTTCTCTGTGATTAAAAAGGGTCACAAACATCTGTGGTAACCTTTGCTATTTTTCCCAGGTAAAGTGGAGAAAACTTAAGACTCTGTACTACAAGTTAGGCAAGAAAAACAGTTTTAAGAAGAAATTGGAGTAGTTCTCTGCCTTTGTATCTTCAGCTGCTTTGAAGTGTTATACTGGGAAGCCTGGGGGGGGTGGTTCTTACTCTTCTTCTATTACTTTCTGTGCATCTTTGCAACCCCTTTCCTGGCTCTTTCTTGGGATTCCCCTGCAGTAGAGACTGTGCATGTAGCAGCCCTGACAGGTCTCCTAGTGGAGGGAATCTGGCTGAAATTGTGCTGTGCTCCATTTGCCTGCTCTGATGGATAGGTTTTTAGAGCCATTGCCAGCTTTTTTTAGGGCAGGCCTAGGGATTAAGCAGCTCCTTGGTGGTCCCAAAGCAGGCGGAACATAAAAGAGGATCTGAATTAATGTGTCTCAAGTGAGCTTTGGGAAATAAAGCTGAGAGGAAAAGGCTTGGACAGAAGTGTACATGTAAGATGTAATGGCATCTTATAGTGTTTTTAGTGTTGAATTTATGCTAAATTCACTGCATAAAGACTAAATAGAGTGTGTATTTTTCTATTTCTTCATAGGAACAGAGAGTTTCCATTGTTTAACAACCAGACACAGCATCCTACCATCTGCTTAAACAGGTACGACCTTTTAACTTGTTAGCATAGTTTCCCAAGGAGGCTACTTCAACAGATGGAGGAGGCTTGAGAAAATTCCTCTAGCTCCTGGAATACTTCATTTTTCTTGGATTAGTGTCTGCTTTTGTAATATGCCTTGGGTTATACTTTAAAAGCCTCCTGCGTCTGATAGGAGTCACTGTACCCATCGTCCAAGCAGCTGTCTTGCTTTTGGCTAAGCAAGAACCTGCTTACAGCCCTGAGTGGAAAGGGCCCAAGCTGTGTGAGTCTGTAAGATGGTGTTGATACAAAGGCAGAGCATCTGAGAGAGATGACGGTGCTGCTGCACACTGCTCTGGTTTGTCTCCTGCCACTGCACTGAGTCGTACCACAGAAAATATGAGAGTGGTGTGGCAGAGTAATCACAAGCATAATGTTGCCACATCTCCAGAATCGAAAGTCATTGGGTTAGATAAAAAAAATGCACTTTTTCTCCTTTTTGGGCAAGAGAAAACATTCAGGAGGCTCCTATCTCAGAAGACTGTGTTAGAGAGAACCTGTGCTGCCTTTGTAATGTAGATAAGCAGGTACTGGTTTTGTCAGCATTTCTGTATGTGCACGTATTCTTTTCAGTTTGATTTACAAGAGAACGTAGTTTCTGTTCTCACAAGCATGAGTTTGAAATGCCGAAGACAGACTTCAGCAAATGGGAATGGAGTTTGACTGAAAATCTACATGCAGAGTGTGAGGGAGAAATGTGGTGTGAGCAGGGTCTCAGAGTACCTGAGCTTCTGCTGGTGTAACTTCACTTAGGCAGGGCAGGGGGAAATATTTCCAATCTTCTGGGGTAGTGTGTTTGCTCTGGCCTTGCAGCACAAGCAAAACAAGAGGGTTTCAGTGAGCACAGGAGTTGCCTGCAGAAGTTTGTGTAAGACATAACAGCATTGTGGTCCCCTCCCCAGGATCTCAGCTCAACAAGCTAGAAGAGGCTCAGACTCTGCATCGTTTAAAGAGTAGCATGAACAAATACACATGCATAAGAATTTTATTCAGCTGATATAAGTTACCACCTTTGTGTTGTCACTAATAAAAAGGAAGGTGCTGGATTATGCTAGTTTAGGACACATTTCTTCTGTGAGGTTAAACTTACACTGTGAGCAAAATCAATCTCCCCTATTCTCCTCAAGTAGTCTGTGCCTGAGGCTGCCAGGATACTTAATGATGAAAAAATATGAGGATCAAGCACAGGTGTAAAGGAAGGGAAGCTGATACTACAGGATGAAGAAAGGTAATAGTATATGCTCTGGGATCTGTGTGGGCACGCACATATGCATTTTTGTGTGTATGTATTGAGTACAAGGCTGGTTTTGGACTTCTTGAGCTTTTATAAGCCTATAAATGTATGAATTTCCTGACCAGCCCCTAGTTTACTTCTGCGTGAAATCTCTCCTGGATGTATGAATTTGAAGGAAATGAAAACTGAAGGTCAAATTTGGCTCTCTAGGTTTGTAGGCTGTAAAAAGCAGGCACACAACTACCAGGCAGTTTACTTTTCATCCGTGAACTTTTCTCTCTCACAAGCTGTGGCAGCAGAGCTCTGCCATGTGGAGGCACATAAAGGTTGTGTCTGCCAGCCTCTCCTGTCCCTGAGACACCTGCCGCTGGCAGGAGGTTTAAGATGCCTCTCATTGTTTCCCAAAATTTCGGTGCTACTCCTTCTCTTGGAAGCCACAGAGTTTGGGAAGGACCCTTTCACCTCCTGGGCTGTGAACTGCGGGAGGGCCTGAGCCACCATGGCCCTGGCACTGGCTCCCTGGGGGCACATAAAGCACCCAGCGTGCCTGCAGGCTGGCTCCCTGCCAGCATCTGTCAGGGAGCAGGGCACCATAAGGCTGCTTACAGTGATCCTACAAGCTTCAGGAATTTTCCCATGGCCCCGGAATACCCTTGCAGCAGCGTGCGAGTACTAAATGAAGGATTAAATTAGCTTTTAAGGCTTAAAGAAACAGGCAGTTTTATTGCATTCGCTGTCTTGCTGTTGATAATATTCCACTGTCGATAAAGTAAATTCTCAGATGTCTGCTGTGCAAGGCTTAAATTGTCTCTGCAGGTCCCACAGGCCTAAATTACTGCTCTTGAAATGAGTAATGAATGGAGTGCCCCATAGCCTCTTGATACTGCTGAGATGCCACAGACAGTTTAAAAAGTGGGCGAGTCCAAAATGAAAAGAGGGAGAAACAATCACACATCAGAACTAGTGTTTTCTGCACAAGGTCACTGCATTGGTGTTAGGAGATAAAACCTAAGCATAATGTCTTGTGAGTATTGCTGTCTCTCCTATGTCCCTTTGTCTCTGAGTGACTAACAGTGAGAATTAAGAGTGGAAATAATATGCCACAGGTGGGCACAGGGAATGTTGTGATACAGGATGTGGGGGCTCAGCAAGAGGAGACTGTTTTGTTGCCCCCTTGCATCCCCCAAGGCTGGGGTGTTGGATGGGGAGGAGGAGTAACAGAACCAACAAGGTGTCACAGAGGGCTACAGGGATGGGTGATAAAGCTCGTGTCCCTCTGAGCTGTGGTGTCAGTACAGCCTGTTTGCAGCATTTATTGCTGAAGGCTCAGCTTTGGAAGTGTTATGGAATTCTCTGCTAGTGTGGTTTTGCATCTAATGCTTCTGGAGTGGCTGTAGTGACTCCACATTGACCACTGGACCTGTCGTTCCCTGTGTGTTGTGAACAAACTCAGTATCTCCTTCTGGCATGAGCTTTTCACTGGGCTGTCTCTCTGTGTGGGTCTGTGAAGGGACCCCAAAACGGGAAGGCACCGAGACAATTTGCTCACCTGGGGCTGTTTCTAAGCAGGAGGGGAGGACTCTTAACACCCTCCAGAGGCTCAGTCACACTGAGATTCCAAATAATTTTGAGTAGCCTTTTGAGTATAAGCGTTAATTGCACTTTTTTTTTCTACTGTGAACCTACTGATGCTCAGAAGGAGAGGTACATAGATGGGGAGGCAGCTTAGCAGCAGACATCCTGAGCAGAGCCTTGAGGACAGCACTCAGGGAGCAGGTTTGTGTGTCAATACCTTGTTCGATTAGGCTGGAGCCTCTTTGGACACAGATGAATTTCACAGAGAGCTAATTGCTCTTAGATGAATTTCACAGAGAGCTAATTGCACTTTAAATGACTGCACTTTAAGCACACCATAGCTTGTATTTCAGACTTAGAAATTTCCCTCACCAGTGGTTGAAAGTTAACAGTGTACAGAAAGATGTCAGTGAGCAATGATTAAGAGAGTTTTTAGGAAAGGGGATATGAATTGATAGTCATTAGAAGGGTTTCTTGTAGTATCTGCAGAAGTAGTTTTGGCTTAATTTCTGAAGAATCAAAAGTTCTGGAGATGTTGTTCTCCTTTTTCATTTTGCTTACTTAGGGTTTTTGGTTTTTTTGTCAGTGATCTTTGTAGCACTAGGGAAAGATTATAAGTGGGCAGAGGTGAAAGGTATAGCTTAGTGTTGTTATTGGCATTGTCTTCCCGTGCAGCTGGCTTGATTGTGTCCTGCTTTGCATTGAGAGAGCTGCAAGGACGCCCCACCTGGGTGGTTCTGACACAGGGCTGAAGGAGACTCTTAGCACACTTGCTGTCACAGCCAGTGTGGCATCCAATCCTCCTTCATCAACCTTCCTCTTAAAAGTAGTTTCCTGCCAACCAGTAGGTTGTTCTGCAATCTCACCTGCAAGAAACCTTCAGCTTCCAGCTAAAACTTACAATGGCCACGGGGTCCTCGTACCAAACTAGCTTTTGGTTTTTCCACCTTTGTGTTTGTCACTTAGCATCAATCTGTCTCCTTCCTCCTTTGAAAGGAGGGCTGTCATCAATTTTATAATCAACTTGTCTCTTCTCTCCTTTCTTCTGATCATCTTAATAGCCATTATCTGCACCTTCATTCATTTGTAAACACCTGTTTTGAAACAAGCAATTTTGAGCACGGCACTCCTTGTATTTGTCAGCTATCAAAGGTAGAATTTGCTACATTTTGAAAGGATTCAGACATGATTGTTAAGCAATGGAAAGGAAGGAGAATGTCCCCTGTCACAATCAAATCATAATTGTGATGGTGGCGTTAGTAATACTCTTATGTAGCAGGCTGAGTCACTAATAAATACTTAAAAGTTGTTTACAGCTGAGAAGCAAAACTGTTCAGGCAGGAATTGACAGGCAGAGGTTACTTGAGTTGCTGCAGCTTTTTAGTAAATCTCCTCTCAGCTCCTTGGATGCAAGAGATGGGCCAGAGAGACCAGGAGGGGAGAGGAAGAGGGAAATGTCGTGCTTCCTTTTCCCTCTGTCGTGATGCGCAAAGGAATTTAGTTTTGAGGAAGAGATTGGTAAGGAAGGGAGACAGGAGTGTTCTGTGTGTTGCAGCTTGTGCTTGATACCTTTATCAGGATCAGCAACCAACCCTGATACTGAGCTTTTCCATTTCTGTGCCGTACTTAAGTGACTTTATAGAGGGGCAAAATTAAGCAAGGTGAAGGTGAGTTGTTGAGCTGGATTTTGGTTTTGTGAACACTTACTGCAATTGCTTCTTCATCTCCGTCAGTCAACATAATCCTTCCTGTAGCTCAAGAACCAGTCTGGTGTGCTCATGTTGAATTCTCATAACTGTGAGTTTTTCCCCCTGGATGATGTGGAGGGTAAGACTCAACACCATGGAGTAGAAGCTCAGCTCTCCTAAAGGCAGTTGAATTTTTGCCATGGACATCCTTTTGAAAACTTCCCCAGGAAGCGTCTGGTTCTGGCTTGTGTCAGGATGGGGATACAGCACACAGGGATGTGCTTTTGCCTCAGCACTGAGAGGGACTGGAAGTCAGTGCTGCCTGTGAAGCACTCGAGGAAAAAACGATCCCATTCCCACTTAAAAATTGTAAATGGTTTGTCGTGGGAGTCACTGAGTGCATCCCAGCCCCTGCATGGAGAGCTAGTGAACCTGATACTCAGAGTCAGTGTTATGTGTATTTAAGC